GGCTGCCCTTCTCCACCGCCCGCCCCCTCACAGCCAAGTCTAGCCTGGCGGCCTCCCTCGCGGTGCTCAGCCCCAACTCACCTGGGGATCCAGGGCGGGACGCGGTTGGGGCGTGAGAGAACCTGGGGGTAGGGCCGAATGGGTCAGGGGAACCCCCCAGCCTGGAGGGCACGGAGGAGCCCCCCCCCCCCCATAGTCCAGACCCAGCAGGGCCCCGCGATCCTGGCTGGGGGCATGGTGGGGACGAGGCGCTGTGACTTGGGGCTGGATGTGGGCAACTTGCCCCTAATAGAGACCAAGATACAAGCAGAGACAGGATGAGTAGCTCCGGAATGGCCACGCTCAGCACGCAAGCTCCTCCCTGACAGGACGACAGTTCTTTCTGGAGCTTAAGGCCTGCCTTCAGCAACGTTAACGCCAGAGCCCTGCCCCTCCCAGCAGCCAGTGCTCCACAGCAAGCCCCACACCGCATCAAGCCCCTCCCCAGTCTAAGCTCCGCCCCTTGCTCTAGGTGGGAGCCACCCTGGTGAAGCAAATGCTCCACTGCCTGGTCCAGGCCCTCCTCCAGCGGGCCCTGGGATGGGGGCTTTGGGGTCTTGGGGACCGGCCTTGGTACCTGCGTCTGGTCTATATGCTCTGCACCTGCAGCCAGGAGTCGTCCACAGGCTGGGGCATGGGCGTCCTGACAGTGGTCGTGTTGATGTCGCCCAGGATGCACAGAGCCTCCTTCAGTGCTTGGTACATGCACAACATCTCCTCATGGAGCTGCTCCTGCTTGGTGGATTCTTCCATTAGTGTGTCTGGTCCCCACAGGAGTACAGGCTGGCTAGTAGCTCCCAGAAGATGAACTCCTTCATCTGTGGGCAGGCGAAAAAGGGAGGGAGCTGAGAACTTGAGCCTGTGTTCCCTTGGGACTGTGCACTGACCTGAGAGTCTGGATGGGATTTGGCATTTCACCATGGCCTGAATTTAGAGTTTCCTCTAAATTCCTTTTTTCAGAAGAAAACTCTAAGAACCGCGAGGAAAAGTGACCTCTCCCAGGTACAGATCTGGGAAGAGACTCAGGACCTATCATGACACCAGGACACCTGCGTACTCAGTTTTTTGAGCCTTGTTTTTCTCATCTGTAAAATGGGTTATACTCTCCATTGAGTTTTACTCTTCACTGGACCAAAAGAAAAAAAAGATCAGCACTTAAACAGTTCTGAACCCTTGAGAAATGAGAGTAACAAGTTTTCCAGGTATCAGCCGAGGCTCTCAGACATTCATAGAGAGATACTGAACATTTTGGTTTTTATTCCACAGGCTCTTTTGCTCATTATTCAAATATATGTTGAGCCCCACTCTATGCTAGGTGCTGTGTTATTATGCACATTATATGCACTTGATCCTCCACCCCGTGAAGCTGATGGTATTATTATACATATTTTGTTGTTGTTGTTGTTAAGTACTGCGGAGTAAGTTCCAACTCATAGTGACCCTGCACAGGCTGTAAATCTTTTCTGGAGCAGAAAGCCTCATCTTTCTCCTACGGAACTGCTGGTATACCAGCCGACCTTGAGGTAAGCAGCCTGATTCATAAACATTATGCTAACAGAGCTCCTTATTATATATATTTTTTACATAAGCCCAAATACAGACTTATAGAAGTTAGTTCATTTGCTCAAAATTGCACTGGGAATTCCTAGCAAAATCAGGTTTCAAATTCAGTCCTCATTTTCCTAGGGCCATACTTTTTACAGGTTGTGGTGGTGCTGTGATGGGTGTATTTCTAAGCTTGATCTGGGAGTTCTGAAAAGATGCAAGTTCTTGGCCCCTCCCAAGGTCTACTGAGTCAGAACTCCTAGGGTGGTGCCAGGATCATTTTAGCCAGTTCCCCATACTAAATGCACCATGAGGTTTGAGAATGCTGATATTGGTTGTGATATATGAAAATGTTTGTGATATAAGATGAGGGCATGGGAGCTCCTGGAATCTGGGACCAAACTAAAGAGAACTAGGAACCTGGGGCAAATCGGAAAAAGGGATTGTCCCAAAATTGTTTTCTCGCAGAATCCCTGATAGGACCAGTAGCCGACCACTACTTTTATCTTAGAGACCCCTCCCTTCCCTAGTGTACCCAGCATGGGTGGCCCACTGGCAGTACCCTTATGACTGCCAAGGATATGCAAGAGATGGAAGCCTTGAAAGTACAGATGCATATAATATGGGCATGCTGGGTCAAGAGGGAACTTTGGAGGGGGCCAGGGTGAAGAGATGTGTGAGGCTGTGTTGGCTGGGGGCTCCCTCCTCAGGGGCTGTGGCTAGATAAAGGGAACCATCAGGTTCTTACATATGAACTACAGTCTCCTCCCAGATCTTGCTTACAGAGCTAAGCTAGGCTTATCCCACCTCACTGGTCCTGCAGCAATGGATCATGCCCTTCCTGATCAGAGCTTGTCACAGTGCCCTGGACCATGCTCACCTTCTTTACCTTTGCTTCAGGGCTCTTTATGATAATTTCCCCACCAGACCTGGTCCCAACCAGACCACTGAGATCTAGACCTGCATTGTCCAATGTGGTAGCCACCTGAAACTATAGGGAGCAATTGAGGTGTGGCTAGTGCAATTGAGGAACTGAATTTTTCAATTTAATTTTAATGTAAATTTCATGAATGAAACTCGATTTGATGATTGGAATCCTTCTTTAAAGTTTGGAACAGTTTGAGCATGTGAATCTATTTTTTTCAATTGTAAATTTCATTACATTTCTAAGTACTTGTAATGAAAATTTAATGATAGAATCAGATTTGTACAAAAAAAAAAGAATGTAAAAGATACCAATAATACTGATTTTATACTAATTCTGCATTGAAATGGTATTTTGGATATATTGACTTAAATGAAATACATTAACTACCACAATTAATTTTGTTTCTTTTGACTTTTTTTAAATGTGGCTACTAGGAAATGTTGAGTCTCAGTGTGGCACTGTGAGACAGGCACTGGATTGCTAACCATAAAGTCAGTAGTTCAAACCCACCAGCCAGCCACTCCTTGGAAACTCATACAGGCTTGCTATGATTTGAAATGGACTCAAAGGCACCTAACAACAACAACAACACTAGAAAATGTAAAACTACATATGAAGCTCACATTATATATCTATTGGACGGTTCTGGTCTAGACCATGCCTCCCTCCGAGATGTGGTCCCACAGGGCTAGCTGGCCAGTGCCACTCTCAGGCTAAGCTGGCTGTCTGCTTTGGTCCTATGAGAGCACCCCATCTCCCAGGCAGTGGGCCACACACGTGGTTGATCATGAGGTGCATGATGGTCTTATTGACAAAGGCCATGTATGAGTCCACCAGATTCCGGATCGTCTCCACCTGCCGCTCTAGCTGTGGGTCCATGGAGTGCATGAAGCTGTCTGAACCATTCTCTTCGGTCTCACTGGCCTGCCATTGGGAACAGAAGGACATTGCTGCTGTCACTGTGTCAAGTCATCTCATTGGGGGTCTTCCTCTTTTTCTCTGACCCTTTACTTTATCAGGCAGGATGTCCTTCTCCATGGACTGGTCCCTTCTGATAATCTGTCCAAAGTATGAGAGATGAAGTCTCATCATCTTTGCTTCTTAGGAGCATTCTGGATGTACTTCTTCTGACAGACTCCTTAGATTGGATTGAATAATATCTTAAGGGGAGTTACCTGGAGATCAAGAGTTCAAGGCAAGGCATTGCAAGTGACTTTATGCACACTCAGTTTATGAATAACATTTATTTCACTAAAGGAAGGAATGGGGATGGCTGTACTAAGAAGCAAGAGGTCACCTTCTGGAGAGTGTGGTGAGAGAGAGACTTCGGGGTGTGAGAATGAGGATTTGGAGCAGGAGGGTTTACCAGGCTGCCTTTCCAGCTGGGAATCATGAGCACATGATCAGGTTCAGGAATATGATGGGGTAGAATGTGCCAGCCCAGAGAGCTACCAATGGCAGGTGGGAGTGGCTGGGAGATCCCAACAAGCCAAAGAGAACTCTGGCTGTGTCGTTAAGACATCCTCCCAAAGCCCAAGCATCCAAACCCATATCCCGAAACCAACCAGTCTCCTCCCTTCTTCCTCATCTTAGTAAATGACATCAACATTGATTTGGTTAATCATGTGAAAATCTAGGAGTTACTTTTGTTCTGTTTTCTTTTAACTTTGTTTTTAATAGGTTTGGATTTCTCAATCAATTCTCATAAAAGTAGCCTCTCATGCCTTATACTTATTTTCTGTTTGTTTTTGTTTTTACTATATTGTAACATATGAGGGGCTTCAAAAAGTTCAAGGGAAAATGGAATGAAAATATAAGTAATTTTTGTTTGAAACCCCTTCATACTTATGAGAAAGCATGTCAATGTATACAACTCAATGGCTTACTCTAAACAGACCTGAGTAACAGTGTTAACTAGCATGCCAGGAATCCCTCCCACCCCTATGATCTTCTATTCAGTAGCCCTTCTCTCCATGGATAACCTCCTGACTTCAAACATCATTTTGCCTGTTTTTGAACTTGATACAAATGGAATGGAACCCCACAGCATGGACTCAAGTCTGAGTTCTTGGGTTTAATGTGCTTGTAAAACCCACCATGTGCTTGCCTGTAACCTTGCTTTCCCATTTTCATTGCTTCATCATATTCCATTGCACACACTTGTTGTTAAGTGTCGTCGAGTCAGTTGCAACTCAGAATGACCCTGTATAGGTTTCTAAGGAGCAGCTGGTGAGTTTTAACCTTGCAGTCCAAACTGACTTGCAATCCAGTGCTTATCCTACAGCGCCCTACCAGGACTCCTATCACGTAGATAGTCTAGCACTTATTTACCTGTTTTACTTACAGACATTTGGTTTCCTTCAGTTGCAGGTGGTTATGAATAAATCTGTGAGCATTGTGGCATTTGCCTTGTGGTGAACGTGTTAGTGCTTGCAAGCAGAGGACTAGATGTGGGTTCAGCTTTAGTAAATTCCACCAGTTCTCCAGAAGTGAGTGTGTCACGGCTTCTCTAGGAGTTTTCTTTACCATTTATTGTTGGGGTGTTTGTCGTCCACATCCAATCCAGCAGTAAATCCTCCAAAACAAATCCTGAGCCTGTCCACTTCTCTGACACCCCAGTCCTGGCCACCACCATCTCTTTCTGCCTACAGCAACAGGCTCCCCACTGGTAACTCTGCTGCTTCACCAAGACCACTTCAACCCATTCCATGCAGGCATCCCAATGGATCATTTAAATATGGGCTTCAATTTACTCCATGCCCTTGTTTAAAATCTTCCTTCTGCCACTTCAAAATGTAATGGAAACACCTCGCCCTGTTAATTCACTCATCTCTTCTATAAGTATAACAAGCCTCTTTAAAGCTTAGAGGCTTAAAACCACTGCCCCCATTTATTTGCTTATAATTCTGTAGTCAGGGCAAGGCCCAGTGGGGATCTCTGTTGCACACAGTGTTGCTCGGGCAGCTCTTGGATGGGCTTGGATGTCCACAGGACATAGATGTGCATGGTAACATTACATTGCTGGTAGGTATCTCAGTTGGTGTGGTCACAACAGTTTGGGGCTGACTGGACCTCTCTCTCTCTCTGATCATTCATGCTCTAGGGAACATCCTCCCTACCTCATTTTCTTGTATCATATCTCCCCGTGATGGTTCAGAGCTCCAAGTAGCTGTTTAAACAAGGATTCTTCCTGGCCCTTTAAGGCCTACACCTGGAACTGGCACCATGTCACTTTTGCTGCATTCTATTGGGCAAAGTAAGCCACATGGCCAGGTCAGATTCAAGAAGGGAAACAGACAGCAGAGGAACAGAGATCCAGGTGGTGGGAAGGTCAAGTAGATTACAGGATAAAATAGACTGTCTTAAATGGAGGGAAGAGTTAATGGATTATAAGGTAACCACAACAATGGGGTTGGGGTGGGGGGGTTAGTTCAGGTGTTGGGATGGGCAATACAAGAAGGGGGAGGAGGCAGAAGAACAAGGTAGATAGGGGAACACTGAGACAGGTTTGCATGTCCTAAGTGGGACAGAGGTAAATAGTGATGCATGCTCAACCTTGAAACAACAGTGCTCTGTGATACAGGGATCTAGGCATAGCTTGAAGAGGGAAAATAATATTAAAATGCTTGACTTTCTTATGAATATTGGTTTCCCTTGCCTGCAGAGTATAGGACCTTAGGTGGAATCCTGAGCCACATTCACAACCTTCTGAGGTGGGACATCCCCACTAGCACAGACAAGCAGACCAACGTGGAACAGCTAGAGTGACAGAAGATACATCTTTAAAAAAAGATCATCAGGAAAAACCCAAAACAAAAATGGCAGTATGGCTGACAACTACAAGAATAAGTAAGATGTTTGCCAGGAAGCCATCAAGGCAAGCAATCAAGTTCTTTCAGGACAAACTCCCCTCTGAGACTGAAACTCAAAGGGAATACACAAACAGGCATGTCAGCTTGCTGGTGACCACATTGGTTTACTGGTGAGTGGAAGAGGGGGAAAGGCAGCAATGAAGAAATAGGCTGAGTTCAACCACAGTCCATTGACTCCTGTTGACCTGGAGATGAGAGAGTGAAGATGAAGGGCTGGTTGGTCTAAAGTGTGGTGAGACCTGAGGACATTTGAGCCCATGGACAAGGACATAGCCACAGAGGACTAGAGCTGAAAATGAAGCATCCAGCTGATATGAAGTGAGGGGAGATGCACAAGAACACCCAAACATGCAGATAGTAGCCATTTGACCTAGCCTCAATGACTTGATAATCAGAACTCAACTCAACTAGAGGAACATTACAAAAAAAAAAAAGAAGAGAAACAGATTGCCTGATGAGGGGAGGAGCAACAGTGTGCCTAGAAGGATGGGAGATAGGACTTGCTGATGACCATCTCTGTAGATATGTACCACACCTGGGTTCAAATTTTTCTCTTTGTACTTCCCTCTTTTATTATTATTTTTTTTTACTATATTGTAACATATGACGGACTTCATGCCTTCTTTCAGTTCCTTAAAAACATCAATCTCATCCCTGCTTTGACTTGGCACTGGCTGTTCCCTCTGATTGACAAATTCTCCCCTTTGAGTTTTGGTCTATCTGGATCCTTCTTGTCATGTAGCGCTCAGTTCAAAGGCCAATTCATCAGGGAGATCGTCTCTGATCTCCCAACCAAAAGGAGTACCCAGTTCTCACCTTCCCTTGAGATTTATTTTGTTATTGAGCCCCTCTCACTATAGGAGTCCAGGTGTGGCACTGTAGGAAAATCCCTAAACAGGGTCGCTATAAGTAGGAACCCACTCAGTGGCACACAACAACAACAGCATCTGATATTTTGTATATGTGTGTGCCTGTGCATTTGTTTTGGGACTAGACAGTTAAACTGAAGTGGCTCTTTTCATAGACCTGAACCTGAACCGCATAAAGTTCATATTCTTATCATCAGCCACTAGGGGGCAATAGCATGCTGGGGAGAGAATTTAGACCCTTAAAAGAGTTTTGTTTTTCCACATGTGCCCAGACTCAATTGGGAGTCCTGGTGTGGCGCTGCTGCTTAATGAGCTGGACTTCAGTGTGAACAGCAAGGTTGGCCGTTCAAACTCACCAGTTGCTTCTTGGAAACCCTACACAGGGTCGCTATGAGTCAGAACTGACTCCACGACATTTAACAACAACAACAGGCTGGACTACTAACTATAAGGTTGGTGGTTCAAACCCACCTGCAGCTCCTCGGGACCGACTTGATGGCACTTAACAACAGCAACATAAACTTCAAGAGGAGTTCGGATGAGACACTATAGAGTAAGCCCTAGACTGCTAACTGTAAGGTTAGCAGTTTAAGCAGACTCGCACTCCTTGGAAACACTATACAGGGTTGCTATGAGTCAGGACTGACTTGATGCCACTTAACAGCAACAACGGATTTCAAGAAAGGAGTCCTGATGGGGCCGCTAAGCCAAAAGGTAGATGGTTGGAACCCACCAGCTGCTATGTGGGAGACAGACCCGGTGATGTATTCCTGTAAAGACTGTTGTTGTTGGTAAATGCCATTAAGTTGGTTCTGACTCACAGCATCGCTGTGTGGGGTTTCTGAGGAGTGGCTAATGGGTTTGAACCTTGTGGTTAGCAGTCCAGTGTTTATCCCACAGCGCCACATTTGAAAAGATTATCGTTCAAAACTTTGTAACATTGTTGTTAAGTGCTGTCAAGTTGGTTTCGACCCATAGCCACACTGTATAGGGTTTCTGAGGAGCGACTGGTGAGCTTGAACTGCCGACTTGGTGGTTCAAACCGACTTTAACCCACAGCACCACACCAGGACTCAATTTCTAACTTGTTAGGGCCATATAAAAATCTGTAAAGTAATAATACTAAACATGCATGTTAAGTGCCGTTGTGTGGGTTCCGACCCATCGCGACCCTGTATGGGGT